CCTAACCCTAACCCTAACCCTAATGCCAAAAAGGGGCTTCAACGACCGACGGCTACCGTACCCGTAGCCACTGCGTTGAACTTAACTTTGGCTAAAGGCCTGTGATCGGATATTCATGCTCTATACCTATTATATTATGTCTTGTTTCAGAACATAGATGGAGCCACTATTTAGAAGAAATTGAATCAGCTCTAGCAAAGTATGAGCCATGTTCACAAGCAAACTGCAGCTGCCACAAGAGGTCAGATTCATCAATATTATTTACTCTTTTACCTCTTCCTCTTCTTTTTCTGCTTCTTTCTCTTCTTTTTCTTCTCTTCCTCCTCCTGCTCCTTTAGCTTCTGTTATGTACAATACCATGCTCACATACACAGATTCACTCACACATACACACACATGCATTTACATCGCCATGCTGTATAATATTCACTTGTACTTTTTACTTGCCTTTTTCTGGAACAGGATCTCCTTTATATATGACAGCTTGTGAATACAGTTAGAGATGACAGAATGTTCAACAGAGTCTTTATTTATTGGTTAGTCATTTGTGGAGACTTGGTATCATATGATGTTACAGTGTGATAGAGGCAGATCTGTCGTTGTGGGTAGAGGATGGAGTCAGACGGGACATGCTGGATCAACTGAAGGATAGAGGAACCACATACCAGATCATTGAACATAAACTCTACAGAGAGGAAAAATGCATGTTTCCGTTCAGGTTCGTGATTTTTTAGTCTGCGATTCAACAGCCGTGTAGTATGAGGAGCTAACATAAGTCGACCGTTATTTACGTTGCGTTAGTGATGTGCTATTTAGTGATATTTAGAAAGGAAGCTTGTAGGTCTTATTGGTATATAGCAGAAGATGTACAGTCAAGTGGATCTTGTTTTCTCAATTTCTGCTCTGTTTATGTTCACAGGTGTAAAGGAGTCGAACACTTCATCCTCGAGATTATTGACGATCTTCCCAACATGGAGTTCATTCTAAACACACACGACTATCCACAGACCATCCGCAGACTGAAACCTGGGCCGGTCTTTTCCTTCAGCAAGGTCTGTTAGTGTTATCAGGTGTTCATTGATCTGCCTCGTGTGATCGTAGCTACTCATGTGTGTGTGTGTGTGTGTGTGTGTGTGTGTGTGTGTGCGTGCGTGCGTGCGTGCGTGCATGCGTGCATGAGTGCGAGTGTGCGTGTGGTACATATCTGTGTGCATGTGCATGTGTGTGTGCGTGCACGCGTGTGTATTCATATAATAAGCTCAGTACTCGATAGCATTTGCAGTGGTAAGATGGCTGGTAATGTATTGCTGTTTCACAGTAATAGAAACTGCTAACAAGAACTGTACAAAGAATACTTTCTGCGTTTAGACAGGCGTGCATGCTGATGTTATGTACCCAGCGTGGAGTTTCTGGGAGGGAGGTCCAGCTATTAGCCTCTACCCAACAGGAATAGGTCGGTGGGACCTGCACCGAGACACTATTGCAAAGTACGTCCTACTGCTACTACTACTACTACTCACCAAAAAACAGCTGAAAGAAAGAACTGAAATGCATTACGTCTGGCAGTACGCCACACGGAATGAAGTGGTTTGAACATTGAGTCTGTTTGAGTGAATGTGTTATGAGCTAGCTTCAATTCATCCCATGTTTATAACTCGAGCGACGAATTTGATATTTTACAGATGAAAATTTCTTTCGCAAATTTTGCAGCAATAATGAATTTGTTCGGTTAGCGACACAAATATGAATGACCCAAATATTGCATGGAACAAATCGAAAAGTGAGATTTGCTATGCGTTCTCCCCTAGTGCTAAAGCGTGTACACTAGGGGTGAGTATTGCGACCAAAAACCGTATTGCAATATATTGCAATACGACAAAACCGTATTGCAATATTTTCCAATACGTATTGGGAAGTGTATACCATGCATGATATAGTAACAATTTGATGGTTTATCATCATATATTGTATTAGGCCAAACAAAAAAATACCTTTGGTTCGGGTCACATGGATTGTGAAAATTAGGGTAGGTAGGTAGGTATAACATTTTTTTCCCTGCAAAAACATGGTTAGGCAGGAATATAATTTATTCCCCCACAAGTTAAATATAAGAATATAGGAATATAATTTGAACGAGCGAGTAACCGAAGTGTGGCGCAGCGCGTTCCACAGCGTGTGCGCATGCAAAATGCATCGATCTGTGGCGTGTGGAAAATATCACACGTGTTTGATATTTTCGTCTACGTGTGGAAGATTGAACAGCGTCTGCGGAGTGGCTATGTAAAGTTCCACACCGTCTCTATGTAACCGACCACTAGCAGGAGGTCAAGCGAGTCACGTGATCTTAACTTGCGGTTGCAGCGCGGCATTGGTGACAACCGCTGGGATGAGCCTGAGGGCCAGGGCTCGAATTAACCGACGGCACCGACGGCAATTGCCGGCGGTGCCCCTATCAATCGCCGTACTGCCCCTGAAAATCCAACCTGACCGACGGCAGTCACCTGCCTTGCCCTTTTCTGTAATTGTCGTCGGTGCCTCTGGCTAGACTGGTTCGCGGTCGCACTGTTTGTCGCAGAGCGTGTACATTGTCTAGCAGAGCGTGAGGCCGGATTCCAGTCTACCCTCCGGCAAAAACAATAACCGTAAACGTGGCTTGCTGCCAGTAGACGATCGATAAATCGTGCGCCTGTGTATGCCCGTGGTAGAACACGCATATTTATGCTGCACGTGGACTCGGCCCGCGCACGATTTAAAGCGCGGGAAA